CCAGGTATCAATCTATATTGCTCATAGCTCTAAATCCATCCTTCATTGTCCTGCTTGTGAGACTAGAACATTTTTCCCTTGCCATATGGCACGATTTTAAACATCAACCATAGAGGGCAACGGAGAGAATTAGAGGTTAAAGGGGCTCTTCCTGGTTCTGGTGTTTCTCTTGGCAGGCTCCTGCAGTGCACAGTGGCCAGCTGGGCAGGGCACCTTATGGTCAATTTCTCTGTCACACTATAGGTTACCCCCCTTCTCCCACCACTAGGAGCTTCCTTGAGAGTTCCATGGTGTAGCACTTCCCATGAATGGGTTCCCAATGAGTTCCACCATGTGACATCACCCTATGGACAGTTTCCCACAGAACCCCAGAAAGTGACTTCCCTACGAGCTCCACTAACATGTCACCTCAGTGAACTCCACCATTCACTGGGCCACAGGTGCATCTTCTCTAAAGAGATCTGGATCCCACTGAGTGGGCTTCATTAAAATCTGTTCTTTCCTTAGGTGCTCTTCCTCAGACCAAGGGATAGTGACCACTTCCTGTATCTGCTCTTGTCAATTCTTAGAGTTCTTTTTACCCCTTAGTAGACAATCACAGTTACTCCAATCCCTGTCACAGTTAATAATTCTTTAAATTAGACTTTTCCTGCTCAAATTGCTATTTAGTTTCTGTCTCCTGAATGGATCCTAACTGAGACAGACAGACCTGGGTTCTAATTCTTGAATCGGCATTAACAGGTTTTGAAATACAGTCACGTACCACATAAAGACATTTCAGTCAATGATGGACTGCATATACAATGGTGGTCCCATAAGATTATAATGGAGTTGAAAGTTCCTATTGCCTAGTGACATCATAACCGTTATAACATCATAGCACAGTGAATTTCTCAAGTGTCAAGTGATGATGCTGGTGCAAACCTACTGTGCTGCCAGTCAGATAAAAGTATAGCACACATAATTACGTATAATACATAATACTTGATAATGATTATAAATGACTGCGTTACTGGTTTATGTATTTACTATATTTTTAATCATTATTTTAGATGTATTTTTCCCACTTATTTAAAAAAAAAAGTTAACTGTGAAACAGCCTCAGGCCGGTCCTTCAGGAAGTATTGTAGCAGAAGGCATTGTTATCACAGGAGGTGACAGCTCCATGTGATGGTGGATGTGTAGGTGGAAGACAGTGATATGGATAATCCTGACCCTGTGTAGGCCTAGCATACTGTGTGTTTGTGTCTTAGTTTTAGAAAAAAAAGTTTAAAAAGTAAAAAAAGAAATTTAAAATTTTAAATGGAAAAAAGCTTACAGAATAAGGATGAAAAACTTTTTGTATTATTGTACAATGTGTTTATGTTTTAAGCTAAGTATTATTATAGGAGTCAAAAAGGTAAAAGTTTGTTTAAAGTTTATAAGGTAAAAAAGTTACAGTACACTAAGATTAATTTATTATTGAAGAAAGAAAAACGTTTTTATAAGTTTAGTGTAGCCTAAGTGTACGGTGTTTATAAAGTCTATAGTAGAGTACAATAATGTGCTAGGCCTTCACATTCATTCACCCAGAGCAACTTCGTTCCAGTGAACTTCACATTCACTAACTCACCCAGAGCAACTTCAGTCCTGCAAGCTCCATTCATGGTAAGTGCTCTACACAGGTATGCCATTTTTTTAAATCTTTGATACTGTATTTTTACTGTACCTTTTCTATGTTTAGCTATGTTTAGATATACAAATATTTGCCATTGTGTTACAGTTGCCTACAGTATCAGTACAGTAACATGCTGTACAGGTTTGTAGCCTAGGAGCAATAGGCTGTACCATAGAGCCCCAGTGTGTAGTAGGCTATGCCATTTAGGTTTGTGTAAGTGCATTCTGTGATGTTCACACAACAATGCGATCACCTAACCACGCATTTCTCAGAACGTATCCCTGTAGTTAAGCATCATGTGACTATATTAAATAAATCAATTTATCTCCAGGTGTCAATATTAACATCATAAGGTTATTGTTAGAAATAAATGACATAAGATATATAAAAAATTCATAGCACCATGTTTATAAGTACTGTATTATAAGTTTTCATTCAATATCATTTCAATGACGAAAACTATGAGAGTCATGGGTTAATAAATATGTTATTGCATCATTTGATTATGAACATCTTAGGGAAATTTCTGCTTCTTTTTTAAAGTGAAAAGTTCAAAATTATTTCCTTCTAAAAAAACCAAAACCAAAAACTTCCTCACATGTGTTTAAGATATGTGAACAGATATTAAATATATCACTTACATAATTCTAAATCTCCCCTTCTCATCTGTCAACAGAAGAAAGGAAGCTAAAACTATTGTAAAGCAGTGCTGAAGAGTAAATCCTGCTTTACTTCTTCAGGAAATTGAGCGGTGGAAATCCTCGGGTAGTAGATGACTTTTCTAGTTGTGAAGGAGGCTAAGGATGGATCATATAGCTAAACTAAATACAATCCTGAAGTTTTCCATGACACACAAAATAAGAAAACAAAATAGATCAGAGCTTCTCTCTTTTAAACCATAAAGAAGAAAAAAATGAAGTAGGAAAACGCAGAAATAATAGCATCTGTTAGTGTGAAAGCACCAAATTGCACTCAAGGCTTCTCTCTTCCCCAGCTTTTATAAATGTCTACTACTTTTAGCTTAGAAAAGATGTTTAGTAACATTATTTGACAGGATTATGCTTATTATAAATTTTAATAAAGCATTTTATTTTTCATAAAGGCAAATGCTTCAATTTCAGGCAAAATCAAATGCCTACACTAAAATCTAAGTAATGGTGAATATACAACTGTCGCTTTCTCTTACTGGCTTATCCTGATTGAAGACTAAGCAGAAACACATGAAGTCAGTGGAGTGTTGAACTTGCAAGGACAACGTGACAGGGTGATAACTGTAACATCAGGCACACATTGAAAGTTTGTAGCACAGTCTTGTTAATTCCCCATTTGCCCATGCAAATGGAGCCTTCAGCTTACACAAACAAGGCATCATGATTTTTAATGGTTGCATGTTCCTTCATAATATCAAAGGCAATTACACTTATAAAAACATATAAGGCCGGGCGCGGTGGCTCACACCTGTAATCCTAGCACTCTGGGAGGCCGAGGTGGGCAGATCATTTGAGCTCAGGAGTTCGAGACCAGCCTGAGCAAGAGCGAGACCCCGTCTCTACTAAAAATATAAAGAAATTAATCGGACAACTAAAAATATATAGAAAAAATTAGCCGGGCATGGTGGCGCATGCCTGTAGTCCCAGCAAGTCGAGGTTGCTGTGAGCTAGGCTGACGCCACAGCACTCTAGCCAGGGCAACAGAGTGAGACTCTGTCTCAAAAAAAAACAC